CCCGTCATTGGCCCTCGGGCGGCGTCAATCGCGCCTTTCCCCGCCCCTTCTGCTTCCGGAGGCTCCACTGGCGGCCTCAGTCCGCCGCAGAGCAGGTCCCGGCTTCCTTTCCTTTCCTCCTCTCCCCTTCCCAGAGGTCCCCGCGGCTAGGCGCCGATGTTCGCGCGGGGGTATCGCGAGAGCAGGGGGCCGAGACCGTGGTGTCGTCACCAGCCGCGCTTTGTCGGTTTGGGCGCCCGGGGCAAGTTGGCGGTTGGGCCCCTCCGCAGCCGGCCCCGGCCCGGCCGAGGCGCTCCGAGTCCGCGGGCGGCGCCCCCGAGGCCCGGTCCCCGGTGGGCTGGCGCCTAAGTCGGGTGGCTCACCTATGCCCTCCCATCCCCCGGCCCCCAAGTGCAGGGTACCGCGGCCTGGTCAGTCCTAGTGGCCGTCGTGACCGTGACCCTGAGCAGCTGAAGCCCAGGACGCACCGAGTGGCCGCCGCCGTGGTCATGGCCCGCCCGCCCTGGGCCCCAGTCCATCCCTACTGGTCCAGAGTCCAGGCTCCGGCTCCGGGGCCTGCTCTCCACGCAGCTGTCACTCGGGGTCCAGTTCACCAGGGGCTCCAATCAATGCTGCTTCTCACTCTGCCTTCACACTCCCTTTCCCCCCCCCGGATCCAACCCCGTCGCCCTGCCAGGCTGCCCCCACCCCTGTCGGATCTCCAGGGCTTTCCTGCCCTACTCCCACCTTGCTTGGATCCAGCCTCCTGTCCGATCCCCTTGGGCAACGTGTACCAAGCAGGTGCTATACCAGGTGCCTGCATATCCAGAGAGAAGGAACCTCCGGTGGTAGAGGCCCTGCAGAAACGCGCGGCTTTTTCTTTTCTGAGAATTTGTAAACACTCCTGAACTGTGGGCCAGTTGGCTGTCATCGAGCAAGAGCCAAATAAGCGCTCTCCCGTGCTATGTTACACAGCCGCGGGCCATCAGGGCCGGCCCCTGGCTCAGTGTGGCTGGGCACAGGCTAAGGTGCTACGCTGAGGGCGGGCTTCACTTTTAGGCCATTTGCCTACGGGTCAAGAGTTGGAAAGATTTTTTGTTTCCAATGGTTTAAGATTTTAAAATTGGCATTGTGGGTGGGAAGGCTAGATCAAAGGGGTGATCCCAGCTGAGAGGATTGATTTATATCCTTTGTAAATGGCTACATCCGTGTAAATTAGACCAAAGGCAGAAGTGGTTACCTAGTTCCCACCCCACAAACTTGCTACTTCTGTTACACCTGAGGCAGTACCCGCCCTGCCCTGCCCCGCCCCAAGCAGGATTGAAACAAATTTTGGCTTGGAAGCAGACCAATGACACGGTATTTTAGCAACTTCTCGGAAAATATGGGCAGAAAATTGAGCTAAGAAACCTACCTTCTCAGATAACTTTTTTCAGCCTCATGATAACCCAAATCTGTTGCTGAGTCAAATCCAAACTCATGATAAATAGAGTGGTTAATATTTTTTGGCTGACAGCCTGATTTTTCATTTAATCAGTCTGAATTTATCCTTGATTCTTAGCATTTGTACCACTCACTGGTGTATTAGCAAAAAGTGAACACCGTCATTTGTAGGGTGCTTATCTAGGGTCTAGATTCTAGACCTTTGTACAGTCTGGGACACACCGTGCCATTGCTTTCCTGGCTACCATGTGAATGTTTATTTCCATTTTACCATCGAACAAAGGGAAGGTGGTAGAAAAATTTCCGTAACTGAAAAATTCCAAGATCTACCTCATCAGTGGCAGAGGTAGAATTTAAACCTGGATATGAGCGACTTCAAAGCCTGCTCCCTTAACCATTACGAGGTATAGCCTCTTCAAATCATTAAAAAAGTCACTCAAGCTCAGGTGCTTTGTAGATACAGTAGATATGTGCAAGGATGTCATTAACTTCTTTTACAGGCGAGGAAAGAGACTCGGGAAGACGGAGTGACCCGCCCACAATAGCCTGCTTCATAGGGGTGGACGGCGTGTGGACTCCAGTTTGTTGGATGCCACGTGCATTGCACAACCTGGCCGCGTATTTCTGGATCTCAGCCTCAAGTGGCAGTGCTGCTTTGTGCACAGCTGGCTCACTACTAACCTCGCCTGCTATGCAATCCTTGTAGAACATGTGTGTGAATGAGGCATTAGAGCACGTGCCTTGCACTGGCACGGCAAGCCCAAGCAGCTACCAGGAAAGAAGATGAATGCATTGGCTTTCTGGGGCTTTGGGTATCCTGTCCTTGTGAGCTTGTTTAGCATGAGTCTGGGCCTTTGAGCAGGATCAGCTGTGGGCATTCTTGGTACCTTGAGTCTCCCAGCCTCTGGGCTGAAGATTGCTGCAGGCTCTTGGAAGGCTTACAACCTGGCTCCCTAGGAGGGACTGTCGGCTGACAGGGACACCCCTCTCTTGAGTTTCTTGAACCCTGAGGTACTTTTAAACTACACACTAGTGGTTACTGGAGGAGCCTGCAAAATCAATAGTCCAACCCTGCTAGCCATTCTGTGAGGGAAATCTGAGGGCTGCCAGCTCTCACAAAGAGCTACTCTCCCAGAAACTCCCAGGGCAGGTCTCCTGTGTCCTATAGGGTCCTTCTGCCTCTCCAGCCACACCAGATGTAGGGGCCACCTCTCTGCCCCCAGGACAGCCAGTCCCGTGGCGTGCAGACTGGCAAAGCGGCAGTAAGGGGTCAAAGGGTATCTAATGTGCACAGAGGTGCTGGGGCGTGGCTGACACTGGTAATCTCACGCAGCCACATCGGCGAACATATCTGAGGTGCCAGGCAGCAGGGTACAAGCTGGCCATCGCTGACCCTGCCCGGGCCGCACTTCTCAACCAGGAGGGAACCTGGCTGGTTGTCGGGACCAAGGGAAGCCTGCCCCCTCTGTGAAATATCTGACCTTCTGCCTGAGTTCCCTCCCCTTTGGGATCTGACCCCCTGTTCCTCCCCACCCCAAGCCTTCTCCGCTTCTCTGGCATTCCTTTTCCTTATCACCGCTGCAGTCTGGGTAATGCGTTGGGCTGCTAACTACAAGGTTAGCAGTTCAAAACCACCAGCCACTTTGTGGGAGGAAGGTGAGATTTTCTACTCCCATGAAGAGTTAACAGTCTCAGAAACCCCCCAGGGCAGTTCTACTCTGTCCAGTAAGGGTCCCTGTGAGCAGAAACTGACTCGATGGCAGTAAATTTGTTATTTTGCATGTATGTTTCTGTGTCCATCAGGGAGAAGGCTTTTCCCCTGGGGGAGAACAAATGTTATGGATTGAATGGTGTCCCTAAAAGATATGTTGTGATTCCCTGACCCCTGTACCTGTGGCTGTGCCTGAGACATGCAGATGGTACCACCTTGCTTGCTGAAAGTGAGGAGGGCCTGTAGCCCTTGTTGATGAAGATCCAAGACTTCAGTATTGATTACCCTTCGACCTCAGAAACCAGACTCCCAAGCAACACCATGAGAGGTGGAGAAAACGTTGGAAGTCATCAAGGCTTTTATTTGACTCGAATCTCCAAGAAAGCAAGAAATCTCAAATCTCAAGAAAGCAACAGTTAAGAAATCAAATGGGGAAGTCAGGCTCATAGCACAGGTCCTACATACTGTACACTGTGTGTGGTGTCAGAGAAGCGCCTGCAGCCTGGGCAATGTGTAGTCAGCGCACCCAGAC